AAAGATTTCTTTAATGCAGACTGAGCAGGATACGTGGTGGAAAGCTGCTGTTTGGGGCTCCCCCTTTTTGAGGTGATTTATAACCTCGCGATATGAAGGCACTGGCTTAAAGTTAAGCCATGCATTATTACTAGAATCAGTACTATCAAGAAGAGGGCAAAAATTGGTCCTGGGGAAGAATAAAATCTTAGATATTACATGGGTCATGGCACATCAATGGCCATATTGTAATATTTGTGGCATTAATAGGGGAACTCTGGTGGCATAGGTCATAGGGAGATGTGCTGCTAACGCAAAGGCAACACCCCTCTAGTGGTTCGAATCCCCCAGCAGTCCTGAGAGAGGAAGATGGGCAAACTCCTTCCATGCAATTTACAGCTTCAGAAATCTGCTGGAGGGTCAGCTATGGATCAGTTCTGACTCCATGGCGATGAAATGGTGTTAACATTTTGAAGAGAAGGATAATTAGAACAAAATATCCAAACAGTTTTCTTAAACAAAACAAACTAGCTGCCATGCAGTTGATTTCAATGATGGCAGCCTCAGGTGTATCAGAGTTCTCAGTGGCTGCAATCCTTTAGATGTGGATCACCACGGCTTTCTTGTGAGGCACTTCTGGGTACATAGAAACCACCAATCTTTTGGTTAGTGGCTGAGCCCTTACGTGTTTAGGCCACCCGGGGACTCTAAAAACTGGAGAAGTGCAGGGTCAGACAAAAGGCAGCAGCAGGACATGAAGGGGACATCCAGCCAAGGTCCTGGGCCTGAGGCCCTAGTCACACTTTTCAGTGTTCATTGAGGCTCCAGTGGTGCCCACAGAATTGCACTGACTACCAGAGACTGTACCTTCTCTGGTGGTTTCAATCCATCAGGGGATCCGGTAGAGAAAAGTAATCGCCTCCTGTGAGATTTTACAGCCTCTAAGACCCGCTGGAGGCTCAGCTATGCATTGGTTCCAACTTCACGGGAATGTATTTACTTGGCTTGTCGTCATGGGAAGAGCCCTGGGCTGGGTGTCATTAGTTCTGACTTGTGTACGTCTCCCAGCCTCAGTTTTTTCAGGTACTAGGAGACAACACTGACCGGATGGACTAGACGGTCATCCCATGGGCTGGGATCTCACATACACTCACACACACACACACACACACACACACACACACACAGAGAGAGAGAGAGAGAGAGAGAGAGAGAGAGAAGTTCTTGTTACAGATATGGACAAGTGTGTTCACCAAACCGGAGTGAAAAAAAAAAAAATCCAGTCGCTAAACATGCAAAAGGCGCTCTGGTGGTTTAGTGGTAGGGGTTGTGGTGCCAACCCAAACGCCTACTGTTCAAATCCACCAGCTGCTCCACAGGAGAAAGATAGACAATCTCCTCCCGTGTGATTTACTGTCTCTGAAAACCCCCTGGAGGGTCAGCTGTGCATCGGTTCTGGTTTGACAGTACTTAACAACAATAGCAAACACACACAGATTAAACTTCCAGCTTTGGAAAAATCTCCCCGGTTCCCTTGTTTCTTCCATCCTATGTCAATTACCCTCTATTCCATAGGGTGGGAGAGTTTGGGGAGAGCGGTGGTCTCTGGGCATTCTTTGCTTGGGCTAGCCAGGCCGACTAAACACTCTGGACCTTTGCTCACTGTCCATCAACATGGCTATTGGGATCATTCCTCTCCCCCTGCACAACCCCCCCCCAGTGTAGCTAGCTTTCCAGCTCCCTATAGTACATAACAACAACAAGTAGGAAAGGATCACATATGATTAACATAATGAGGAGGAATCTGGTGGGTTCCGTCCATGAGAAAGACTGGCTGCAGATACCTTTTGGGAGCGTGACAGCGATGGCATGGACAGCTGAGGTCTCCGGAGGCCTCCGGTGGCTTCGTCACCCCACTCAGAGCCAGCTCACCCACCGAGCGTGCACCAGGAGGCGTCCCCCCGGTCAGAGGGGCAGGCCCATGGGCTTCTTGCACCCACAGGAGTCAGAAGCAGCAGTCCCAGGTGCACTGCCCATGGCCCGAGTAAGGAAGTATCTGCTCAGCCTTCCAGACAGAAGGGAAGGAGCAAAGCACCCAGCCTTGGCCAGTTTACCAGAGGAGGAAAATTCCTGCCTGACCCTGGCGGGGATCATCAACTTCACTCTGGGCATGTGACCAAAAATCCACCTAATGAAGCATCTACACATTGGCTGTTCATGCACCAAAACATCACCGGTCAGAACAAGATGGTGAGGTTGCAGACCATGGAAAAAGGGGCCAAGAAAGTCCGTCCAGGGCCTCCCAGGCCAGCAGTCCTGGGAGAAGACATCCTGCTGCCCCAACACTGGAGTGTCCATGTGGTCCCGAGCCATGTAGGCAGGACAGGGTCTGTTCCTTTCCCTTTGGATCTCTTTAAGAAGGAGTACTGGGGAAAGCCCACGGCAGCATTTCAACACTTGTTGTTAAAGGATTGTGGGTTGGGCGCTCAAGTGTTTGTCCTTCTGAGAGAAACCAAGGCCGCTGTGGGAACAGCCTCACTGAGGCCTTGTCAAGCGAGTCCTCTTTTTCTCCAAGCTTGCTCTGGGAGTCCTGTTCATTTGTTTGTGTTTAGCTGTTTTTTCCTGAAGGAGCCACAAAGCCTTGGAGAGGGTGCGCCATCGAGAGCTCCTCGTGGGCTTGGGCTCTGGAATCCAACCCAAACTCACTGCCGTTGAATTGGAATCAACCTGCAGCAGACCCTCTACCGGGTTTCTGAAGCTATAAATCTCATGAGAGGAGATTGCCCACCTTTTCCTTGTGGAGTTGCTGGTGGATTTGAACCATCAGAAAGGGGCTCGCTTTAGGTTAGCACCACAACTCCCTATGGACTAGGCCACCAGAGCTCCCGGATTGGAACTAGATTAGACACACACAGACTAAACTCAATCCCAACTCACAGTGACCCTACAGGACAGTGTAGAACTAACTGCTCTGTAAGGTTCTAGAGATTGTGACCTTTACAGAAGCACACTGCCACCTCTTTGTCCCATGGAGTGGCCAGTGGGCTTAAAAGGCTGTCCTTTCTGTTAGCGGCTGGGAGCTTCATCACCGGACCACTTGGGCTCCTTCCAGATTATACACCACATGCACCGACATCAAATCCATCTCGACTCACGGGACCCACTAGGAGAGAGCAGATCTGCCCCAGGTTTTCGAGGCTGTACATCGTCACAGGAGCAGATGGCTTCACCTTGCTTCTGTGGAGTGGCTGGCGGGTTACAATCACTAACCTTTTGATTAAAAACTGAACACTTAACCACTGCACCACCAGCACTCTAGATTATACACACATATGCACATTCTACTCATATTATTTCCATTGAGTCAGGTCTGACTCAGAGACCCTTGAGGGCAAAGGAAAATTGCCCAAAGTGTTTCCGAGGCTGTAAATTTTTATGGACACTGATCTCATCCTTCTTCTATGGAGTGGCTAGTGGCTGTTGAATTCAAACGATCAGCTCTTTCATTAAACGCTGAGCAGTTAAACATGATATCCCCTGAGCTGTATATTAGACACCCCCTACCCCTTAAAAACACTGCCATGAAGTCAAGCCTGACAGAGACCTGTAAGACAGAGTAGAACTGTACCATGGGCTCTGGAGGCCATTGATCACTTTTCTCCCATTATGCAATGGCCGGGAGATTGGGGCCAAAGACCTTTTGCTCAGCAGCCAGGCACTTACTCACTGTGCCACCAGGCATCTTTCTACCCATGAAGCAAGTGACACGGGGCAAATCTTTTGCTGTTAAGCCTGTGGAAATGCTGTTGATTTTATTCTGCTCACAAGATACGGCCTATAACATTCACAATCCTCTCTAAGGTTCAGTTTTCTCATCTGTAAGGTGGGAATTTTTAAAGCACAGTTCTCAGGACATCCTGATGGTTCAATATAATTAGGCACTATGTGCAAAGGACAGGGCACACCATATGCTAATTCGTGTCCCAGAAAAGGGGGGGGGAATCCCCACAACAAACAAACCCCAGTCATCGGCAATTTATACAACACTGGTGAGATAAGGTCTTCACAATGTGGGAACTCCTGAAGGAATACCTTGAATCATGAAAAACTTTCTCACAGAAAATATGAGGACAAAATAATTAAGCTGTTACTCAAAGGGGCAACGATCCCCTCCCTGGGTTTACTACAGACTGAAATACTAAGCCGCCTCCTTAATAACTTAATCTTTCTGGACCTCAGGTTCCTCATCCGCAAAATGAAGAGATTACACCCAATGATCCCTGATACCCTTTCCAGGGCTTGTAAAATTACCACTGCGTCCTAATGTGGGGTCCGAAGGGAGCACGTGCTACCGCTTGCTGCCAGCAGGGGGCGAACCCCTGGGAACCCCTTGCCCTGCAGCAGTCAGACAAGAAAACAGTGGACACCCCTAACTAGCGCTTTATTGCAAGGGTTCTAGTCCGAGGTTGCGTGCGAGGGCAAAAAGGAGTTTCTTTTAAGCTATTCTGTACACATGAATTCCTGGGGCGGGGGGGGGGGGAAATGCCTTAACCTATATGGCAGCTCTATGCTCTGTACCAAACGGATACCAACACAAGCGACTGCAAAAGAAGGAGTTAATCCAGGGAGTGATTGATGGGTGTTCATTTAAGTAGATTTTTAAAAATGTGGGTGCAGAATCCAGCTTCCTGTCCTCAGGCAGGCTGGAAGGACAGAGCGCCTGCACGCATTCGCTTCCAGCACTCCCCCTGCTTCGGTCAAGCGGCCCTCAAGGAGTGGGGACTGGTGAGCACGGGGGTGGGTGGCTACAGCAGCCTGAGAAGACGAGAAATGTTTCTCCCAGGCAAGCATTAAATCCAAGACAGACAGCTCCCCGGAGGCCAGTGCCTGAAGGAAGCAGAGGAAGGGCTGTGGTTCTGCAGCTGGGGACAGACCAGACACTCAGCCCCAAGGCCCAGCCTGAGCCTCTGGGCCCAGACACCCCGAAAATCCATCCAAAAGAGCAAAGTAAAGGGGCTTACGTGAGGACAGCGGTGGCTAGGTCCAAAGAGGAGGCTCTCAAGGCAAGAGAAGGCAGGCGCTCCCCGCAGCACCGGCTACAGTGGAAATAAAGGCACCTGTAGCCTTGTGATATAAGTAACACCTACAGACAGGTCCGTTTGGTTTTTCAGGTTTATGCACAGCCCCTTTGATGACGGTGACATACAGTGTGGCACAGCTCCTAGGAGGGGGGGAATGGCGCTCCCTTGCAGAAAGTTTACCTTTATCCTGCTTTGTGCCTTGTTCACCACCCCTGGCCCAAGGAGCTCAGTAAACAAGTCCGGGAATGTTTGCCCCTGGGAGTTTTGCGGGGTTGTGCGTTTGCTAGGGAAATGTTCTGGGCGCTGCTGCAAGGAGTAATTTGGAAATCTGACCCTCCCTCCTGCTCGTCTCTGCTCCCTCCTGAGCTGGCCAGGTTCTGCCCTCTCATCTATCATGTCATTGCCCCTCTTTCCCTGTGTCCAGGAGGACAGGCAGTATCGGACAGTGGTTAGAACCTGAGTTTTGCAGCTAGATAGATGGCTTTGCATTCTGATCCCTGGCCTGGCGTTTTTCACACTGTGTCAAATTGCACGAATAGGTTATCTGAACCTCACTGGCTGAATAGAAATGAGAGTGCTCCTTTACGTGGTTGACAGATAATGTGCTTGACTGCTAACTGAAAAGTTGGAGGTTCAAGTCTGCCCAGAGGTGCATTGGAAGAAAGGCCTGGTGATTTACTTCTGGGGAAAAGAATAAGCCATTTGAAAACAGTATAAAGCTACTACCACTCTGACACACATAGTGTAACAAATTCCAGGCACCAGAGGGCACCTGGCTTATGCATGGCCAGCATCTGGGAGACGCCGTTGGCTGTTGTGATGACAAGGTTTTATAATTGATAGAAGATATAAATCCAAACTTCTTGCAACCCTCCTCCTTCTGACCAGGTGAAGGGAACCTGTAAAGCACTGACTGTGAGCACAGCACACATTAACCTGACTTCTAATGTCTTTGCATGTAAGGAGCTGCCCAGTATTTCTCTCTCTTGTCCGTTTTACAGATGGACTTACGGAGTGGCTTAGTGGGCCAGTACCTTGTCCAGGGAGCCAAGTGATAAGAATCTGCACTGCAATCCCAAAGGCATGCAAGGAGCGGCAGTTTCCTCCTGTGTGATTTACTGCCTCTGAAAACTCACTGGAGGATCAGCAATGAGCACTGTTACAACACCACGACACGAGCAGAAACGACAGTGGTTCTTTTGTGGGCTCCAGCTTTCCCCTCCTCACTGAGATCTACCCTTTGTGTAGTACCGGCAGTCACCAGATCATGAATGAGTCTGTTCCCACGTCTACCTTTACGTTGGATTTGTACTCTAAATCAGAAAAGCTAAGTACGATTTGTGTCTTAGTATATGGAATATAGTGTACCCTTTTACATATATAACTATAATATATAATATTACAAATAACTTTCAAAAATTTTTGTAATTAGAGTGAAAGTTTATAAAGCATATTGTTTTCTCAATCACCCATGCACATTTTGTTCCGTAACATTCATTACAAAACAATGTCTGATTATTCATTCATTTCATGTTGTCTTTTCCTTTGCTCATTTTAATAACTGTCGGCTTCCAGATAGGTGGAAATTGCTTTAACTTTATTGCTACATAGTAACATAAGGGATAAAAATAATGTGTTGATGCACATCACAAACAAGTGTCCATTTATTTAATGAATCATAGCACATATCTCAAATTTTCGACAAGGTAGACTTTATGGGGGTTCATTTGTAACTATGAGTTTATATAAGTCAGATCTTTGTGAGTGGGAGACTGCTTGTGTTTCCTCATGAAGAGCAGAAACGTGAACTGATTTAGCGTTTGGTGTACAGTGACCCAAACCAACTACGGAGCAGCATTGATAACTTTATGCTTTTAGCCCTGCTCTCACAATTCTCCCGGGCAGTTGAGACTTTGAGTGCAAACGACACACTCTGAGCTTTAGCGTGAGGACAGGGACTGGTTGGTTAAGTTTTCCGGAGAACACTGGGCATGTGTACAAACATACAAATACAAACAGACTTCTCCTTTGAAGGAACAAAAGGCAGTTCATTAGAGCACCGGCAGTGTCATCATGGAAAAATTGTTGAAGATAAGGGAACTGTCTTTGCTGCCTTTGCTGTGTGATCTCAGGCAAGCCAGGTAGCTTCTCTGGGTTTGAAAGGAGAATAGAAACGAGATGAAAGGAGATGGAATTAAAATAGTGGTGTCCAGATTGCACCCCGAGGATCTCCAGGGCTGAGTCCTCAGTGGGGCAGTTGGGGCCCTAGTGGGGGATTGGGGTTAGGCGCTAGACTCCTCCCCTTGATTCATAAGTCCATTTCAGCTTTTACATAAACCTTCTGGGTAAAATTTCATTTGAACAAAAGAATCTGCAGTTAAAAGAGCTTGTAAATAACGGGATTACATGGTTTTTGAAATTCCTTTCAGCTCTAAAATTGTGTGATCTCTCCTCTTCCTCCTCGGCTTCCAGGAGACTGTGATAGTCCCATACACCATGTCCTCGACGCCAAGCCCTTTCTGATCTTGTCATTGGTTTCTGAGAGGTGGCCAATGTTTATGTTTGCTTGTACACACATTCATACACTTATACACACACACACACACACACACACACAGCTCTCACACACTGACACATTCTCACACTCTGTCTCACATTCACATTCTCTCAGCCTCTCAGCTTTTCTCCCAGCCTGCATGCCTCTCTCTTTCTCTCTCTCTCTTCCCTCCCCACCCCTGCGCTCCCCCCTCCCTCCTCTCTCTCTCTCTTCTCCATGGAGAGATTTTCAAAGGAAAACTCGTTCTGGCCCTACTTACACAAGTGTCTGTTGGAGAAATTGCACTTTTCTCTGCTTTACTGTCTCAAATATTTACAAAGGAAAATGTTTCTGACCAAGGGTGTGCATGACCACAAACTCTTGTTTGTTTTGTCCTGAGGATACAGCATCTCTGAGTGCCTGTGTATGAAATGACAGCCTTCTTGACCAGTGGATAAAAGATAAAAGAGGAGTTTGACTCTAAGTTTTTTTTTAAAATTTTTAAAAAAATTTTATTATTTTTATGTGTACTGTCAAATCAGATCTGACTGGTACAGGAGGAGATTGGCCCCTCCTTTTCCAGCAGAGCATCTAGTGTGACTCTAAGTTTAATCATTGAATTTAACCTAAAGGTGATTGGAATAGAGATATTGGCTGATAGCAAATGCTAAGCTTATAAAAATTGTCTTATGAGTGCTGTTGGAAGAAAAGAGATGGAGATAAAAGATGGGGGTCTGGGGCAGATGAAAGGCTGGAGAAGGAAGGGGCTAGAAAATGGAATGGGGCATTTTAGAACATCCGGGTCATCTTCCTTCTAGGATTTTAATCACACTCTTGTAAGATTAACAGTAACTGAGCTTATGTCCTGTAGAAATGGGCAGCTGAAACTTTGATGAGGATCAGTTTAAAGGAAAACTTCCAGGCAAATAACGAAAAAGAAGGAAGATTTCTAGGGCTTTCACTTTGTACACCTTCATTTTAAGGAAAACATGACTGTTGGAATAAGTGGAGCTAAAGTTTTCCTCGGGTCCCAGAACTTAAATCAAATTTATAAGTGTGTAATTCAGCTAGGATTAAAACAAGATTGGAAGCAGGAGTGTCATCCCCTTCCATAATAGCTTGTCTCCAAAAACTCTAAGAACTTGGAGAAACAATGTGATCAGGTCTTTCAATCATAGGGTCGCTATGAGTCATCTACGACTTGATGGCACTTAACAACAACACCAACATAGAGTTCTGTGGGCCTGGTGGATAGAAAGTTATGTTACCAAGTCAAAGGAGGGTTATTTTAATCTGCAGCCCTCAGGCCTGGTCTTAATTGTCTGTCCATTTGCTGTCCAAACGTAACTTCTGGTTGCTGTCAGGCTAAACATTGTGACACTGATGTGTCAAATGCAATAATGGATACCCGTGGCAGACAGTGTTTGGTGGTGCTCCCCTATTAAAACAAGCTTGGAAGCAGGAATGACACCCAGTTCGGTAATAGATTGCTTCCGGAAACCCTGTGAATTTGGAGAAATGATGTAAGTTATACAAGTGTTCAGGTCTTTTGTTCATAAGGTTGCTATGAGTCGTCTATGAATTGACGATACTTACCAACAACAACAGCAATTCAGCTAGGAAGATCTGGTGGCCTAGTTGGTAAGGAGTTGTGCTACCAACCCAAAGATATATAGTTCTAATCTATCAGTTGTTTTGTGAAAGATCGACAATCTCCTTCCATGCAATTTACAACTCTGAAAACCTGTGAACTAGAAGTTAATTCTGATTCAACAACACATAACAACATAATTCAGCAACTCCCTGACTCATGTGGGTTTGGACTTCTCTGCAACATTTACATTAACATTCTTCTTAACATTTGCACTATTTTCCACAGAGTGAATATTTCCCAATTTATGTAGCCAAACAATCCAGTGACTTTTAAAATACAGTCCATTTTCAAGTTAGAGCTATCTGCACTGTACCTTTTCTACAGTTGTAATCAAATAGAATATCTTTATTATAAAGTTAACATAAAATATGGACTTATGGCATAATAAAGATATTAAACTAAAAAAGCCTCATAGCCTTCAAGTTGGAACTGACTCTTAAGCTGACTGAGCCTTCATTGAGTTTCTGAGGCTGTAAATTACACGAGAGGAGATTGCCCTTCTTCGTCCTATGAAGGTGCTGGTAGGTTCGAACTGCAGAGGAGCATGTCCTTTGGGTTAGCAAACACTTGTGGACTAGGTCACCAGAGCTCAATAAAGACACTCTCATTGTCGGTGACTCATAATAGATTCATTACTGATCCCCAGTGGGTTTTCAGAGGCTTTAAATGAAAAAGGAAGAAGTTGTCCCTCTTCTTCCTGTCGGGTCACTGGTGGATTTCAGCTGCCTCAGTGGGCAGCACAAGGGCACCAGAATTCCGATGAAGACTAGTCATCTCCGATACAGATTAGTATAGACTTTGGGCATATTGTTGGAAGCTATTCCTTGTAGAGGGATATCATGCTTGGAAAGGTGGAGGGTCAGA